AATAAATAATAAATAAATAAATAAATAAATAAATAAATAACATTTTGTTTATGGTTAGTCCCAAGTAATTAATATCTCAGGGTCCAGTACTCTGTTCTTATGATGAATTTACAAGAAAAACTGGCTTTGAAATTTATAATCAAACAGTAGAATAAAGAATATTTAGTGTAATGGCATTCAGGAAATCAAGGAAGATATTTCAACAGATTTATAGCATACAACTCTGAAATATGTAATTTTCTTTTTTCTAAAGAAAAAAGCAAAATGTTTGAAAAAGATATCCAAAGGAGTTATGCATTCAGTTTCATGTTTTAGGGATCTACTGTTAATAATATGGCTGACCCTTGTTCTGCTGAGGGAGACACAGATCAATCAAGTGGCTCTTCCTCTGCTGTTACAAAGAGAAAGTAGAACTCCACATCACTTCATCTAAAACAGCGATTCTCAACCTGTGGGTCGCGACCTCTTTGCAGGTCTAACGACCCTTTCACAGGGGTTGCCTAAGATCATCGGAAAACACATATTTAATTACATATTGTTTTTGTGATTAATCACTATGCTTTAATTATGTTAAATTTGTAACAATGAAAATACATCCTGCATATCAGATATTTACATTATGATTCATAACAGTAGCAAAATTACAGTTATGAAGTAGCAATGCAAATAATTTTATGGTTGGGGGTCACCACAACATGAGGAACTGTATTAAAGGGTCGAGGCATTAGGAAGGTTGAGAACCACTGATCTAAAATTAACTTCACAAAGCAACTAAGGTAGATCTTTCAACATCCTTTCCAAAACAACAAATCTTTACAACCAGAGACTCTTGTAACTTCTGCATGAAGATGAAAAATCCACACCTACTTAATGGAGCTTTGGATCTTTCGGATGGCTAAAGAAGAGAAGCCATTTTCAAGGTTAGTCTTTGACTCTCAGTGATGTCTTAGTGATTTGGAATCAAAGGAATGATTAGTTAAATTAAAGATTAGAGTAGAAGGGTTCTGTCTGACACATCCTATATAACAAGCAAGGATATTCATAAAGTCTGTCTTAAGTTACAAATTTAATTCACTTTGCTAATTTTTCCTTTCAACCTGCTTCTGAAGTTAATAGAGGCACTCATCAACCATGTCTCAAAAGGTTTTCAACAAAAATCATCAAAGAAGATTGTGTAATCACTTTAATAAATAAAAGGAGAACCATTTCTAAAATCTTAAAAAAGAGGAACAAATGTAATCTGAACAATAAAGATTTAATAATAAAAAAAAAAGAAAAAAAAAAAAGAATAGGCCTTCCTTCCCCTGGCTGCTAGCACCGGCTTCCCTCCTGCACCCAGGACCGGGTTTTTCTTACAGCCTCGGCTTGATCCAGGAAGGTTGTCTGGAAGGACATCTGGTCTAATTAATATATTATGCTTTTATTATTATAGATATTTGAATAATACATTCATTGTCATTTTTGTGTTAGGAAAAGAAAGCAAGGTTTAATTCTTTTAAAAACCAACTGTGGATTAACCTACTGATGAGTTATTGTAGAATATCATTCTATACTTGCTGTTGCTCCACTTTGATATATAACATATAAAATCTTATCCCCATAATTATCAAAAGCATTCATCCAAATATGCAATGCAAACTTATTTATTTATTGACTTATCCATCCAGTCATTCATTTATTTAGCAAACATTTGATGCTCATACAGATCCAAATACATACCAGGAACAAAAAGGTGAAAAAAAAGGGTGTCTACCCTGTGATGGTATTACTCTAATAGGAGAGAATCATAAAAGTAAATAACTATAAAATTATTACAGAAACATAAAACAGAGCAAGTTTTTAAAAAGTAGTTACATATAAATTCCCAAATGTTTGTTCCACATATATCAGTGCTTTATTTATTTACTTAATATTCTGATTTTAACTCTTTTTAAATTGAGAAAGAAAGGTCTCTCAATTTAAAGTCACATCTTTGCCACTGCCCACTCTTGTATCATGTGGATGTTAAATTCAAGAACCCAAGGCAGTACACATATGAAAAGTGATTAACTACACTAACTATAATTAAAAATACACATTAATACAAAATGTTTAAAATGTAAAAATTGAAAAAATACTCTCATCTTATAATTTAACTTTTCATACAATTTTAATTGAATTCCTATCTATTATTCATATTAACCCTTTTATGTTATACTAGAGACCCGGTGCACAAAATCGTGCACATGTACGGTACCTAGCCCTAGCCTGTTATCAGGGTCATCTTCCCTGGCTGGCAGCTGCCAGCAGCAACCCCCACCTTCCGCTGCCACGCACCCAGTTCCCCATTCACCCTCCAGAGATGGGAGCCTGAAGGCTGGGAGAGGGACCAAGATGTCAGCCGTTCCTGCCCACTCGCCAGCCCCACCCCCACCACAAGTCACCCTCTGTGTGTGGGGCAACAAGCAGGGTGGAGGTTTTGGCCTGGTGCCGCCGCATTCCCCGCCTCCCACCCCGGGTCCCCATTCGCCATCAGCGATCAGAGCCTGCGGCCGGGGAAAGGGACTGAGAGTTGGTCAGTGCACCTCATAGTGACTGGTCGAGTGGTCATTCTGGTTGTTCTGCCATTATGGT